ATTTCCATGACATAGCTCCTTTACGGGTTCTGACGTCTGTGATATTGCTCGGCAGGTCTAGCAGGTCTCTTTTGCAGGTATTCGAAAGGAGAATACCAGGGAAAACTGAGAGGCATTTGCTAGCAGGGAAAGATTTTAATGTACTTGTATTCGAAGACCTTCAATGAAAAAAGGAGAGTTTCAGTTATCAGATATTGAGCACATTAAACTGAAGGAAAAGAAGAAAATGGTGAAACTAGGGTTAAGTTTTTGAAATGTTTATTTGACATGCAGGTAGCCTTTAGTGCACGTGACGCAGTGAGCTTTTGGAACGAAACCGAAAGGGGGCCATTTGTGACGGAAGTTTCTTCCACTCTGAAACGAGTTCAGTTCTGCACGAGGGCACATTTAAAAAAAAACACTGAAAGACGCAAGAGGCTGAGCCGGAACTTTGAACATCGGTTTCGTCTATCACGAGATCAGAATGAATGGCCGAAAGGCTGCTCTCGCGACGGGAAGTTTTCTGGCGTTCGGGATTCTCTTAATAGTTTTACAGCAGCCAACTGGAAGACCTGTGACGGACTCCGATTTCAAACCTATTCCATACACTAACCTAGCAAAGTGTGAGCGAAGCACTCAAGGAGAGATCAACTGCCCTGACATTCGTCACGAAGGAAAAACTCGGCTTCGCCAAGCTCAACTTGTTCTTACAAGGATTTTAAGAATCTTTGATCTCATCGCTAAAAAACATGGCATTAGATACTGGTTACACAAAGGAACTTTGTTAGGCGCTGTACGGCACAATGGACATATTCCTTTCGATAATGACGTAGATATCTGTATTCCCAAAGGTGACTTCGAAAACTTCGTCGAAAACGGCACGAAAGACCTCCCCGATGACATATTTTTTCAAACTGAAGAAACCGACCCTCATTGGAAAGTTCCGTATGTGAGCGGAATGCTGGGAAAGCTACGTGACACACGAAGTTGTTTAAAGTCTTGTAGCGGAGGTTGCAAATTTAATGACGGGTTAATGCTGGATATGTTTGTTGTGGAGAGTGATTCAAGCGGTAATTTCATAGAGGTCTACACTTCCCGAGTGTGGTTTCTACGAGGGTATATCTACGCTCCATTTGTAAGAACACCGAGCGACATTTTCCCCCTTACCCAAGTAAATTTCGATGGCTTTTCTCTTCCAGCTCCGCGAAAATGGAAGAAAATTCTAAAGTCACTTTACGGTGATGATTTCATGACCGTCCGTAAAAGGCAGTCTCTTGGACATCTTGTTACAGATACACTTCACAGATGCAAAGAGAAACAAAAATAGCACTCATTTGTATTTTAGTATTGCATTATAAATGTCGTGGCGGCGTGGGTTTGACTTCCTTTGACAACTTCTTCTCAATATGATGACAAGTGGAAAGTAGTAGAAAAGGTGGTTACGTGACTCCCGGGGGGGCAAAGACTCCGGATTTCAAGTGTCGAGTGACGAGGATGATCGAAGGATGTTCTTGCGTTTGAAATGTTCTATTCCCGAATGTTTTGGGTAGGATAATTTGGCAAGTATTTTTTTGGGTGGTTTGATTTAAGTGTAGAGATTTAGCTAGCGGCTCTGGGGCTTTATATAAGTCTACCTGAGTGCTAGGGTTAACACAACAGGCTCTGCTAGGAATAGGCAACTTTGCCCCTTCATGCATGACCAGTAATCTTAAAAATTCAACTGAGTCACGATTTTTGAGTGCAAAATACTAAGCACATATCTGAACAATTTTTAGGTATTTCCAGCATACGACGATAATACATGTTCGTTTTTTCGTGAATTCAATGTTTTTTCGTGATCACCCGTGACGAAACACGATAACCAAACTTTCTGTGGACAAGACTCAGGTGCTTGTCAGTCGTCTCCTTCCACTAACCCGTGGGGCAGGGGGAGAAAGTCTTATCTCTCTCCCCCGTGCCTCCCACAAATTAGTGCGTGTACTCAGGTTTCGTGGTTTAGTTTACATTGATAGAGCGGGAAAATGTGCTTTAGGTAATTATCGTACTACAACTTTGATGATGAATCAATGATGAGTAAATGGAAAAATACTATCCTAGCAAACCAGACTGAAAAGATTCACACGTTCCAACAAAGGGACGCACTTGACCATGAATGCATAACAATAAACAGCGGGTCAATTGTCAGTCAGTTTTCTTTTTGTTTGATCCCAGCTACACCACTATCCACGGCCAACTTCAGATAAAAGTTGAATTTGGTATTAGTTTGTATTGGTTGACATTGTACATGTGAACATAGTATATTATAATGTGGAATGATCATCACCGTTAGTCTCCTTTGTTGAGACTTTGTTATATGCTTTCGTTAGCTTTTTGGACCTGACCGTGCACAATGTTCAACAGCATTCCTATCATTTTGAACTTATAGAAACATCGCTTCACTTTATTTTAATCATCGCTTTTAATTTATTCAGTCACAATTGGTGAACAAAAACAAAGGATTTTGCACGGTCAAGGAGCTTCCAACATAAACTACAACACCGTTGTTTTCAACTTTGATGCTTGCCGGCTTTCATAACTAGGTTATAACCTTTTCATATATTTCACTATTACTGGGGCGAACAATATCGTTACGGTTATACCGAGGACTTCTTTATACAGTGAAACCTCGATATAACGAACCTCGATATAACGAAGTCCCCGGCATAACGAACGATATTTGTTTGCCCCAGTAATTGTATACTAAATGAAAACACTCGATATAACGAAACCTCGTTATAACGAAAAGATTTTGACAGTCCCTTGGCCCTTCGATATATCGAGGTTCCACCGTATAGAGGTTTCATTGTTTAACGAACGATATTGTTCACCCCAGTAATTGTATACTGAATGAAAACACTCGATATAACGAAACCTCGTTATAACGAAAAGATTTTGACAGTCCCTTGGCCCTTCGATATATCGAGGTTCCACCGTATAGAGGTTTCACTGTTTAACGAACG